GCCTCTGGGTAACTCGTTAATTCTGGAAGGCTGAAGAAGGAAACCTACAGTGTGAATTAGTTACTTCCCAACTGTTCTAAAAGAGGCACAAAGGGCAGGGACATTTTTGTAAACAGAGATCATTTCTAAGTCACATCTTCATAAATAGGGAAAGGCATATAGTAAAACCTCACATTTTTAAAGACTAACCTCCGGACTTGTAATTAACCAGGAAAAATACTGTGAAACTTCTTGGTCAGTGATGAAACAGTCTCCAAACATACAACAATGAGACATAGATCTTGCACCTATATCCAGGCCTGACAAATAGTAAGTGCTCCAAAAAAGGGATTTTCACTTTTAATTAAGTACTAATTGAGTGAATTCTATATTGAAAAGGACAAGACTATGTGTGGGCCGGTTACCTTCATTCTCTTTAGCATCTCCTAATTCTGATCCTCTTACAGCACATGTCCTAACAATGAAGGGTTGGTGAGAGCACTTTCAAGAAGCCACCTGAACATTATGTCACCTCTGTGGGATATATGCATCTGTCTACCCCAGCCCAAAGCAGGTGGTGCATCTCTTCATGCCCTCTCTGATGTGCATCAATTTCTAGGAATTTCTAGTACTATCTCCACATTGCCAAATCTGAGGAAACAAAAGAGATAAGGAGAGGAAAGTGAAGTCAGTGAGGATATCCAAGCCTGTAGGACCTTAGGTTTATTCTGGCCAGTATTACCTGCTAAAAAAGACTTAAGTTTTTGGTTTCCCTTCGGTCACTTGTTTTTATAACACATGCCGACATATTTTGGGGAGTTGTGCCTCTTTCAGGCTAGAATTTAGTCTGCACAGCAGACCCAGGTCCTGTCTCCTTCAGGTTTTAGAATTGCATAACAATTTAAACTCATTTTGTACGTACAAGTACTTTGAAAAGAAATATACTATTAAGACTCTCTCTGGTAAGAAGCCTTCCCCACCCCCACGCCCAATAAACTGATCTGTTAACTTTTTGTTTCAGAGACTGTGCTTTCTTTTTATTGCTGCATTTGTGTTCTACAAGACAGCCTCTCCAAGATTAACATTTCTTATGATTGTTCCTGACAATGGATTCACTTCCAGAGGCCCTGCTAAGGATAACCAAAAAAGGGCATGGAGCGGGCTGGTTTTGGCAGCCTGCACGCAGTTTCAGAGCTTTTCAGGTCTTGGGTTTTCTGATGAGTGATTTCCTGAGCATGCCTAGGGAATGACAGGCATCTCCACAGGCAGGCTGCATCCACCTTGGCTGGGGTGTCGTCATTGGCTGCCTATTAGAAAAACGACAGGACAATGCATACCACCGCCTGCCGACTGTAAACATAGGGGATATGTGTTCACTTAGCATGGACTTCTGGGAGGGGCCAAGGAAGGGCGGTCTGGAGTTCTATTGAATAGAGCAGTGTGTATTCGGCTGCCTGCCTGCCTGCTTGCTCTCTGGCTGTGCTCCTGCTTAAAGAAATCAGTCCTTCCTTTCCGACTTAGTCCTCGGGAAGAAGTTTCAGCCTACGAGGTAAGGCACAGAAGGCTTTCTTTTTTTCCTTCTAGAGAGAATCTGGGGACTTTCTCCGGTTTTCAGTCAACATTCTTGGCTAAGGTAGCTGGAGATGCAAGAATGTTCGAGGCAATAAACCATGCAAACTCCGGAGCCTGACTGGGCTTCCCTGCCATACGGATATTCCCGGAAGGCAAACAGGATGAGATTTCAAGTTTTGTTTTTAGAGTTGGGACAAGAAGAGCGACCATATAGAGACTTACATTTAGGGAGCACTGGCAACTTTGATTAGGATAGCCTTTTGTTTAGGACAGCCATATGAGATTATACCTGATATCCAAAGGCCACTGTTAGCCAGCCTACTGCACCAGACTGCTCACACAGTCTCTTCTGCATCTTTTATTGCCAAAGATTTAACGTGGTTTTGCTTTAAAAACAAAACCAACAATTCTTTAGGTTGATGAGAAGCCAAAAAGGAATGATTTTTTAACCAAAGGCATTTGCGTTATAGTCTGCTGCCAGTATTTAAAACTAGACTTCCAGAGTTGCAAGGAAATAAAGTCAGAGATGGAGAGATCACTAGCACCTAGCACTGGTTGGGTTAATGTCACTGATGGGATATTTGCTAAGACAGAAGATGCCTAGGCTGGTCTGTTTCCTATAAAACCTAATAACAAGAGAATGCATGCGCTAGTGGGTGTGTTTTGAGAAAGCACATTTAACGTCCTACCAAACTATTTTTTTAAGAAATCTTATTTTCTGTTTGAAAGGGTGCCCGAGTGTGTCTAGATAATCTGAAGAGATGTCGATTGGAAATGTGGTTTAGAAAGGGAGGAGGCAGTCTTTCATATCGAGATAGACATATTTGGGTGTCTGAAACAGTAGTACAAGGCAGTTAGTTGGTAGTAGCCTGGAATTCCTTTTAGAAAGAGCTGATTGTAAGGGGTGGGGGAATTTTAGTGCTGTGGCAATACATGGTCAAAAAAAGTGGATGAGAACAAAGTGCTTGGTATTTATAGATCCCTTCTGTTAACAGGACTATGCAGATGGACTTGTAAACTGAAAATCCTTCTAATGTGTTTGCCAAAACCAGACGTATACAGCTAGAACTTGAGTGAAGACTAGATGCTATATGGCAAGCAGGGTAAATCTGATGATTTTTTAATAGTGCTGGCTATGAAAGACTACCAGCTGCAAATCACTGATTCAACTGGATTTTATTCCATGGAATGCGGTGGTTTGGGGTTGAGATTCATTAAATAACATTTTCCCTTTGTATTTAGAAGTTTGGGGATAATTTTCTTGGGAATGCCTCTTTCTCCTTCTAGAAGTGATATATGAGAACAAAATTCCCTGTGAATTTCCTTCCCTGGAACAGTTCTGAGTAAGTGTGAGAGAAAAGCTGCAGGCGAAAGCTATAGTTTAATTACTGTCCTTCCCTCGAAGAGATCAAGTTCCAAACTATTTTCACAGTGTTTTTAATGTCAATCAAAATATGGAGAGCAATTTTTCTTTTAACTGCTCTCTAAACCATGAAGGGAATGCAGTTTGGAAGGAAATCTATAATCTTGGGATTTGAGGATAAATTCCATTTTGAAACCAACATCTCAGAATCCCTGAAAGTTCAAAATGCGCTATGACCACTCTCTCCGGATCCCCCATCCCCCTCCTCTTGGGCTCCCCACCCCCAACAACCATAAAGACACTTTAGGTTTTTCAGAGTAACAGTTTAGGTGTTCTGCTGTATAGGTAGAGATAGAGAGAGAGGATTTGAGTTTATGCTGAATTTTAGGCAGTTCTTTGTGCTACTTCCTTCCTGTTGAATGTTACCTAGAACATATTTCGCCACATAGTGAGGTCAAAGGAACACAATGAAAGCACAGTAACTTTCATTTCAGAAATATAATCGCAAAATTTCAGAACAAAAAGTCACTAAGAGTTGAGCCTAGGACACACAAGGAATGTATGTACAATGGGTTGATCCATAAGTAAAGTGCAGGGTTGTTTCAAGAATTTGAAGCAAAAAGAATGTGTAATTTCAATCATTCCAATCAAAATATTTCCTTAAGTAAATACACAATTCTTATATTAAAGTTAGGAGAAGAAGAACCAGGCTCAAACTGCAACTTAAAGGATTTTACATGAGATACAAGAAAGCATTTCCTGACAGTAAGGCAACTGTCTTGTTATTAGCATTATTAACATTTCTAATTGGCTTCTGTGACTGGTCTGAGAATCTCCTCCTCTTAGGTAGATAGAATAAGTTTGTCCTATGGCCAGCCATGGAGAGTTCCAGAATCTAGCCCAGGTATTCTCTGTTCTGATAATTAAAATGCACCTCAGCAGGTATTTTTGTAGAAACACCTGTAATTTTCTCCATTTGCCATTTTCATGATAGCGTGATTACTAGTTAGTCATTCCTTAGCAAGACACAAAAGTGACTTAGAGATGGGCATGAAAAGAGATTTGCTAGTTTCCCATTTCTTGTAGTCTATCACATGTCTCAGAAATGTGGTCGGGGGACAGGAAAAATGCTGATAGAGTGGTATGCAAATAGCATGGTAGGACTAAGGAGGAGGTTAGAAAGATGCTGCCAAAGAATTTTCAGACTTCAACAGGGGATTTTCTGCGTAAGTTCTCTTAGAGCCTGAGAAGATACCATTAGCTCCTTACTGAAAGTTCTTCATCTGTCAGGCTAATCCAAGTTTGCTATTGGAGAGATGTCCATAAGTCCTGAGTAGAAGGGTAGCTTAAATAGATACTTTTGGCATAGGCTTAACTTATGAGAACCGCTACAAAATCTCAGTTCTAGTATTGGTTCCTCTACTTAAGTAACCCTGACCTTTGAGGAAATCATCAGCTTTTGACTTCATCTTGGAGTGCAGAATGGACATTGGTCATGCTTCTCCTATGTCCCATAGTGGTTAAGATGTCCAAATGAGATGAAGCTCTTTGCCCCCTCTTCCTTGTAGATTCTATACCTTGAACTGCCTATCATTTGAGTCCTCTGGACATTATGCTCCTCTTGGCTGGGATCCTCCACTTCTTACCTAGTATCCCTAATGATCTCTTCCTTTCTCATATTTGAGGACCCTTGAGTGGTATCTTCTCGCTCCTAGTTCTTTCTAGAGCCCTGAGCCATGTCCAGTGAATACTGGTCTGTCCCAATGTTGTCTGAATTTTTACTCTGATGATCACAGACCAAGAGGACACAAATATAAGGAAGTGGAATAAGATGGGCCATCAGTGGTACCAGGCAATATTCAGGAATCAGGAAATCCAAAGATCCACTTGAGCAGAAGACCAGTGAGAAAGTGCTGACAACATAAAGGCCTTAGTAAATGAGGCAGCTTCTCTCCCTCTAGCCAAAAGCATGGAATGAATCCCAGCACGTCATGCCTGGGCCTGGTAGGAAGGGCAAGGAAGGCAGGAACACCTGGCTGTGGTTTCTGTTGGTATTGAAACCAGACTGCTCCTCGGAGCTCGCCTCTCACCTCTTTGCCTCTGTCTTTAGTGCTCCCAGCTGTAACGGACCCCGGTTGTATCCCTAACTTCCTTACCCCCAGGCCTCCACCTCTAGCCTCTTCCCCAGCTCCCCCATCCCCGTGCCGGATAGGGAGCTTTCTTGATCCAACATTGACAATTTGCAGGGACCAGCTCTAAGATTAGGCCCAGAGCACAGAAGAACACTCTAGCACAGATGCGTTCTAGCTAGGGAAAGCCACTTGCACAAACAGAGGAGATGTCAGAGCATGTTTTGTGGTAAGGACCCACTCTGCTTCTCACCCCAAACTCACAATTGGCAGGCTGTGGGTAAGGCTGTGGGAAGGGGGCAGGGGGGGAAAGTATGACCTGGGCTGTGAGGGAAGGGTGATGAGGTTGTTCCCTGTGTTGTTCTTCCCTGTGTTGTTGCTATGGAAACCTTTGAGAATCTGATAAAAACTGTGAACCCTTAAGGTCCCTTTGTAAACCCACCCTTCATGATTGACAGGTGAGAGATCTTTGAGCTGTGGCATGTAAGATGGGGAGTGGGGTCAGGTGTGGATTCCCATAGAAGACAAGGGTGGATGGGATCAGAACACAAGTGGAGGTGTCCGTTTTTGTTTCCCAGATCTGGAAGGAAAGAAAGAGGGGGTAAATACACAGATGTATCGGTGGAGATTGCCTCATATGGCCTCCATTTCAAAGAAAAGAAGGTCATTTCTAGAAAAGAAGCAGTTTTCTATGGGGAGCTCTTGGGGGCTAGAGAAATCCAGGAATGGCTGCTATTAAGTGTACGTGAAAAGAACACCAAGAAGTTAATAAAAGGCTTGCTAAGTAGCAGTGAGGGAATAGTTGAAGGAAAATACATTTTTAAAACATTTTAGTAAATTGGTCACTCACTTTAGTACGTGGCTTTTCTTTGAAAATATATGTATATGTATAAATGATGTATAACTTGAACACAAATTGCTTTGTGATGGTATCCTGAGGCTTCTGGCATTGTTTTGTGAATACTCCATGAAAGCACTTGACTAAAAGGGAACAACCTCACTTGGAGATAAACATATTAAGTAGGAATATATAATTAGTTCCTTGTGACACCCACATATAACATTCCTCATCACTTGTCTCAAGATGTATTGCTGAGGAACCAGGCTGACTTCACTTTGTGCTAAAGACGGGCAGGACCAAGGCAAAGTGCCCAAGGCCCAAGGACCAATTGGCATCAAAGATACTAGTTCCACTGGGGTCAGGAGGAGCAGTCTAAGCCAGAATGGATATAAGTTACAAAAATGGGCTAAGTGGTGCACGACAGCCAGGTGAGTCAAGAAGAAACAGCAACAATCAGAAGTCAGGCAGAGCTTAGCGAAGCAGTGTATGGATGAATAAGGTGAAGTCTGGGAGAGCACGTGGCCCAGTGTTAAGAAGAAATAGACCTCTGTGTGAGCAAACTTTGGTAGCTCAAGTAAAGGGCCAGGATTGTAAGACATAGATTAACGAAGGGATGGGATCACAGGGGTATCCAAGAGCAGAAG